AGAGAAGTGGTTCAGAATAAGCTGTTTTGCCCCAATGCGCTTCGCAAAAATGCCGGCCATCTGGGGTGTCGAGTGTCCTCGGGCCTTGGTCCGGGCCTCGATACTCTCGAAGGTATCGTCGTCCTTGGTTGCCTCATCTATACCAGGTAAATGGGCATTGGTTGCCTCGTGAACCAACAAGTCTGCGTCGCGAGCCAAGGGCACGAGCGCCGAAGGGTCGTATGTATCACCCAAAATTACAACCTTTCGTCCCGGCCGACGAGGGGGTCCATGGAGAACAGTCCCGTCGCTGAGCTCCAAGCTCTCCCCTTGCTGCAGACGGCTCATTACCGATATCGGGGTATTTGTCCGCTTGAGTTCAGGGATATATTTTGCGGGATCTATCTTGCCGGGAATAGGTGCTTCGTGGACAACGTAGCCCAGGCAGGGAACCGAATGCAGTATGGGGGCCGCAGAGACGGAGACAATTTTGTCTTGATAGATGTTCGGCCACACGCTGTCGACTTGACTGATATTCCGCCCCGAAGGTGATTCTGCGCGGTGAAGAGGGAGGTTGTCGCCGTGTTTCGGGTCCCAGGGCAGCCGCAGCTCGTGCACGACGTACGGGCTGCCCAGGAGAGTGTGCGTATACTTCAGGCCCGCGCGAACGTAGGCGCGGGTCCCTAGCGGTCCATATATTTCTAGGACCTGAATTTTGTGAGAAGCGGGGCGAGACAAGTTGGGTTTGTCTCCTCACGGGATTATGCACGTCGATGTGCGCCCTGGGATCCTCCTCTTCTTCTGTTGTTCCACCAGCTCCGTTGAGAATACCCGCAAGGAGGGGAACAAGCCCGAAGATGTGGTCCCCTGTGGAAATAAGGTTCGGCAATAACGAAGGCGTGCGTAGACTCACCGTGCGTATGCGTGATGAATATTTTTTCTATCTTTCCCATCTTCACTATACTTTTCTGGAGCTGGTGCTGGGTTGCCTCTGCAAGATATGATATAGTTGACCTTGTTCGAAACCAGAACCAGCATACCTCCACAATCAAAGAGCCAGACATCGGGACCTAGCCGTAGCGCGAGAGATGAATGGTTTCTCGTCGACGAGGGCTGAGCAGAAGCTGTTCCGAGAAAGGTCAATTGGACGTCTGAGAATGCTGCTCTTGCAGCCATGTCCTTCGCAATGTTAGCATTCCGTGGAGGCACGGTGGCTCGGTACTGACCCTGGAAAATCGTACAGAAAGAGATGCTACAGTCTTGATGGTGTTCTTTATAGCTGCCATGCACAAGTCAGAGTGACCTATATACAGTACATGAGTCAAGAAGAGTCAAGTAGGGGGTTGCGCGTCGCGGAGACTCGAAAAATAACGCGATCACGTTCCAGATCAGCTCTTTCGTCTTCCCACCACGATGCCGCCCAAGACAACCGAACCAACACTGGCAACAGCACCTCTCGGTCAGTCTCGATGGGCACGAGCTTTACTATTTGCCTGAAGAACCCTTCCACAGACGTCACGCCCGACGCGCTACCCCGGGCTCTGGCACTCGTAGTCACCCATGTACAGCAGCGCACTCAAGAACTCACAAATCAGGCCGCCGCAGAGGAACGTCTAACCGCAGAGCTTTCGGTTCGCCTATTCGAGCTCAAAAATCGGCACCTTCAGCTCGCCAAAGAACGGCTGGAGCTCGAACATAAACTGGGCGGTCTACAGCTCGAGCTGGGCCGCAAGTTGCTCTCAGAGGCTCTTCCCATTCCACCCCAAGCCCCGCCCCCCGACGACCTTGATCTCGAAGCCCCTCCCCGCCGACTTTGAAGATGCACTGTTCCGTTCTGACTTGTGTTAGCTGTAAGCATAACTTTCAGATCCTTTGCACTGAACCAACTCCCAATCTTTCGACACTGTTGATCATCTAGATGCACTATTACTTCTTACTACTGTGGCAGCTATAAATGAAGCTATAAGCATGACTTTCGGATCCCCGGCATAGAACCAGCAACCCCAGCCGCCATTCTTTCAACACCGTCGTTAATGTTTGAAGATCGTCAAGATGCACTATTCCATTTATTCTTACTCTCGCAACTGTAAGTATGGCTTTCAGACCGTCATGAATGAATCAACAACCCCAGCAGCCCATTCTGTCCACACCGTCGTCAATGTTTTGAAGATCGTCAAGATGCACTTTTTTTGTGGTTGCGGCAGACGTAAGCATGCTTTTTGTAACTTCCAACGTGAACCGAAAACCCCAGCAGCTCCGCCAAAGATCCTGCTAGTGACCACATTTCAGGAATGTACAAATACTGAACCAGATCCCACTACGATATGTACCACTACGATACCACTGCGAACGTGTTTTTCATTGTGTAATACACGAGGCCTCGCACTTCCAACCTCGTGAGTGTTTTGCGGGGAAGCCCTGCGAGTTCTTTGGCCGTCGGGGTAGTATTGAGCGCAGCCAGCTTCGTGTGCGCCGTTGACAGGAGTTTCCGAATTCGGCTTTCGGAGGTGCCGAATAGGCAAGGCAATATATGAGTTCGAGCGCGGGAGAATCCACGTCAATGTCAACATCCTTGAATCTGGCGCAAATGCGCAGCAGGGTGGGGACAGAGAATAAATGGGTCGGGCCGAGGGAGGATTGTATGAGCCAGACGGAAGACGCGGTGATGACGATGCAGTCGATGGCGGCAAAGGTGCTGCTGTGCGGCTGGAGTTAGAGTGGTCGGGCTTTTCTCTTTTCCGGCGCATGAATTTCGAGGAGGAATTTCTCGGCAGAGCCGAAAGAATGCTCTCAACGAGTTTGCCGGCTGCTGAACGTATGTGGGGGCTATCGAACGCGTAGACCAGACTTTTCCTGATTTGCGCCAGGTGCTTCTCAATCTGCAGCGCAGCTCGGCCTGCAACATGGTTGGAGAGGAAGGTGATGCTCGGACGTGCCCGGTCGATGCGAGGTGCCCCGTATTCGTCGCACTCCGTGGTGGGCAGAACGAGAAAGACGGAATAACTGTCCATCGCGATCACCGCATTGACCGTCATGCCAAATGGGTTCGCTTCGAGAAATATATTAATGTGTTGATCGAGGTCCAGGTCCGGATTTGGCAGAAAACAGGTTCCGTGCGACCGGTCCGCTCATTGCGAGTCTGGTGAAGATTTCCACGGGTTTTCTACTCTCCAGTATCCTTTATTTAGCAAGGTCAGTATGGATGGATCTCCGAAGAACGGTGGCAAAAGACACACGTCGAAGCAGCGATTTCTTCTAACAACCACGGCCGCATAAACCACGGAATACTGCTTGGTAAACCGGTGCATGCGGTCCTTCTTCGGTGAAGATGTCCACACCACACCATGGGCCGCTTGAATCCAGGTGGCAGGCTGCCAATCTTTCGCCAAGTCGAAATCGATTAGGACCCAACTGTCGTCGAGAGCAGCCTTGAGCCAGCCGTCACCTGGCAGGATTGTATGTGCCTCGGTTTCTGTAACGCCGGCTTCAGAAAAGTGGAAGATGTGTTGCTCGTCTGTGATCAAGAAAATTGACTGCCCAGAAGCAAGGAGATGGAAAAGGAAGTAGCATGCACCCATGCTCTTGCCTGCCCATGGGCGTAAACCCAGAACAGAGAAAAAGACGAATACTTGACTATGCCAGGCTGACCAGTGAGGAAAAAACGTCCACCCTCTTTCGCATCCACCATAAAGTCGATATATTCCTGCCGGACGATGAAGTTTTGCGGCGTGTATTTGTCGCCGGGTCGGCGGACGCGAAAGGCCGGATGCCCAGAGAGATCGATGTAGTTAATCTCTGGAGCTGACCAAGGCGGCGCGTGTACGTCCATGGCATCCGCGTCACCGCCCTTGTCGCCCTCGTTTTCATCCGTGTCGCCGCCCTGAACGTCCGTCCAAATACTCAAATCTGCTGCGCGCGTTTTGATGTACAGGGCCAAGCCGACAGGCACAGCCGGGCCTCCTGGCTTGATTGAAGTTGGTGGCCAAAGGACCTCGTGAAGTAGAGCATACTCGTTCGTCGGTGGCACAGGCTTAAAGTTGACCATAGAGATTGAAGATGAAGTTTCTGAGATTAGAGCATCGGCGATACCCAATTTTTTTTCCTCTTTTTCTCTTTTTTTCTTGGTGGAACGTTTATATAGTCTGAGCAACAGATTCAGATGCCCGGCGAGCTGTATCTGGTCTCCAGAAGATGGTCGATGCAGAGCTGTCCCGATCCGTCCAAGCCGAAGTTGCTGCCTACCATGACCAAACACCCCGGCTCCGGACTTGACCGCGACCTGACCGCGACCCGCGTTGGTCCCCCAGATACTCCTTCGCCTGAGAGCTCGCATCTCGTTAAGATGTGCTCATCGATTCCGTCACCCCGCATTCGCTGCAAGTAATTCTTCATGGCCGTCGATATTTGCCCAATATTGGCTCAATATTACTTGATATCTACCGACCTCAGTGTAGCCGTCGTGCAGGAGCATCCAGAGGGAGAAGTGTATGCTTCTCGACACGTCTTTGTGCTTCATGGCTTCCAGGTTTTGTCCACCAACGATTCTTCATTTAGATCTCTTGTGGTTGCTTTTGCGAACTCGATGTTCCTGCTCGTCGCTTTTCGCTTCAGCTTCAGTTTCTCCTGGTACGCTGGTTTATTCATCTTAATCTTCTGTATCATCTTATAGGCCGAGCATTGTGTTGTTGTTCTCTTGAATCCCGGGCTCGGTTCCATGATGTGGATTCTCGCTTTCGTGCTCTCCTCACCGGCGAGTTTATCTGCTTCTTCGTTTCCTCTGAGGCTCTCCCCAACCCATTCAGAGGACGTTTTCGCCTTGCGCTTGCTTACGCAGGATCGAAACCCTCTTTTGGAACAGACTTCCGTTCGCCACCCCACGTCCCATCTATTCAGATTCGTGAGTCGCCTCGAATGTCTAGTCGCGCGTCAACTGCATAGCTCAAGGATCTCTTTTGTCGAGCGGGACCCGGTCTTATTCCTTGGGTGTCGTATGAAAGCACCGCATTTTTCTACGCCTGCAGGTCTGCGTCGATTAGTGGTTAAATCACCTCGTTGTGGTGGGGTAGCTCGAACACGTGATTACGTAAGCCGAGGAGCCGGGTGTTCGATCCACCCCGCGGACATAACCTTTTGATTTTCCCTCTCTTTTTCTTCCCAAAACCTCCAGGCAACATTTTTATATTACCAGAGGATGCCTCTGTGCACTAAGTCGAAAAGGGCTTGGCCAAAATTGCATCAAGTCGAAAAAGGTTTGGAATATGGATCCGCCAAAAGTGCGGTGTGCTCGCGCAGCGGCCGAACTGACACCGCCATGGTCTAGACCCCTTTTACCTGGCTCAAATTGTTTTCGGAATTTCCCCCTTGTTGGCCCAAAGTCCGATACCATTCGAATCACCAGAGAAAGCCCTGTTGAATGAAAGTATCCTCATCACAATATCTCACGGATTGAATGACTTTGAAGCCTTTCTTTCCCCAAAGGACCGTCAGCCACCTATGTTTTTTTGTTGCACTTGTTTGCCCCGGGTCTTAGCCCTCTGCCTGGTCACGTGGTAAGGATAGAAATGCTCGCTGCGCTCGCAATAATATTGCACCAAGTCGCAGATGGGGAAACTTGCAGAACGTGCTTCGAATGCCGTCCGATGCCGGCAGGCGGCCCTCTGGATGCCTCTTCTTCCGAGTGTTAGAAGATAAGCTCAGTTGGGCACACGGTAGGGTGAACAACTATATATTCTAACCTGTTAGAAGATAAGCTAGTTATGAATGTAAGTAAGATGGAAAAATAGATAGGTAAATGGGACGAACCTCAGTTGGGCACACGGTAGGGTGAACAACTGAGGAACGCCCCAGTCGGTCGATAAGATATATAAGTGATCAAGATATGAAATGAGATATGAAACGGGGCTGTTACAGATTAAGGGGATTGGTCTACGCAGTCGGGCGTAAGGCCCGACTGCAGGCGCTATGGCTTGCTGAGCCACTACTTCGACACTCCCCCTGGCGTGCAAGACATAGTATCAGTAAAGTGTAGTAAGAATCAAGAAAATTGACCGTGGTATGAGCGATTACGGGGGAAAAGAAACTCCCCCTCGCATGAAAACCCACCCGCTCCTGGGCCTCCTACTTTGTAAGACCAAGAGCGCGGACAAGCAAGAGGTGCACGTCACGGGGAAGGGATTTGGTGAATATATTGGCGATGTTAGCGGCAGAAGGGACGTGGATGATGTCGATGTCACTGGCTGCAACACGCTCCCGGATGTAGTGTTTGCATATGTTGATGTGCTTGACGCGCGCATGTCCCTTAGCATTCCGTGCAAGCGACGCCGCTCCCATGTTGTCTCCGCGCAACTCCGCCGGGCGCTCCTGAGGCATGCGCAGCTCCTCCAGGAAACTGTACATCCACATCGCCTGCTTCGCACTCCGTGTCAGTGCCACATACTCTGCCTCTGTCGTCGACAGCGCCACCGTAGCCTGCTTCTTCAACGACCACAACACGGGACCACCCGACATCAGGAAAACCTCCCCAGATGTTGACCATCACGTGTCCAAATCCCCTGCATAGTCCGCGTCCACCCAGCCAATTGGCTTGATGCCGCTGCCGCCGCCACGTCAGTAAGTGATTTTGTAGCTGAGAGTGCCTTTGAGGTATGCGAGAATGTGCTGGACAGCTTTCCAGTGCGCAGGCCCGGGGTTCTGGACGAAAGCCGTGACGTGGTTCGCACTGAAGGCTATATCTGGGCGGGTGGTATTGGTGGCATGCTGGATAGATCCTACGGCTTCGCAATATGGCTTATCAGCCATAAACACAACTTCAGCGGGCGTAGTCGGGCTCTGGGCGGATGTGAGCTCGATGCCGGCAGGGAGCGGGGTCGCCTTGGGGTTGCAGTCGGACATCTCATAGCGTTCGAGGACGCGCTCGAGATAGGGTCAAGAGGAGATGGAGATGGAGCCGGCGGCCTCGTCATATTCAATGCTCATGCCGAGGGATGTCGCAGTGCGGGGAACGTCGGTAAAAGTGTAGGTGGCGCGAATGCCATCTTGAGCTTCAGTTGCGGCTGCCGTGGAGGACGAGATCCCATCAATGTCATCGGTGTAGACGCCGGCAATTGATGTACCAGCGGGGGACGACCTGATGTGAATAGATGGGTCAGCACGCGAACAAGTCCAGCCTAAGCTGGCGAAGGACTTCTTGAGATGGTCCGCCCAATTGCGCCCCGACTGCATCATCCCATACAACGACAACTTCATCAAGCACACCTTCTCCTCTGCACCCTCCACCACAAAGCCCTCCGGCTGCCTCATATACACCACCTCGCTCATTGGGCTATTCAGATATGCGCTCACGATGTCCATGGACCACATCAACCACCCTGGCTGGTCCACGCAGATCGCCCAAAGCATGCGCAACGACTCATAGCGCACCACACCTGCATACGTCTCGAAGAAATCGACGCCTGGAATTTGTTGGAATCCCTTCGCAACCAGGCGCGCTTTCCACTTGATGATAGCACCCGCGACGTCGTACTTGACAGCATACACCCACTTGCTGTCAATTACATTGGCGCCCGTGGGGAGATCGACCAAGTCCCAGACCCCGCAATCCATTAACATCCCATACTCCTTCTTCATGGGGTCAATCCATAATTCCGGATGCTGCATAGCATTGCGAAACGACTTGGGGACCCCAGAAGGAATGGTGGAGACAGCAAGCGCCTGGGTACGTGGATTCGGGGTGGGGCGAGACATAGCCCAATTGTCACCAGAAGCTTTCGCAGCGGCTTCGATGGCTTGGGATTCGCGCAAATCTTGGATTGCCTTTGAGGGGACAGTCTGGTGAGTAGAGCAACAAGGAGGAGCAGGCGCAGGTGCAGCCACGGATGGCGTAGCCTCAGGATTAGTGTCTGCAGGAACAGTGTCTGCGACAGCCGGGACTATATCAGTATCGTCTCCAGCATCATCCAGAACTCCCCCTGCTGGAGAAAGCGACCGGTGCCCCCATCCCTCCTCGAAGATCACGTCGCGTGCATTGAAAAGGGTGCGTGTTGATGAAACCACTGGACGTACGCCGCTGTCTCGAATGCCAGCGGCCACATGCTCTTTGGAAGCCCTGAGTCCGCCAACAAGCATCGCCCAAACTCGACTGTCGTCCAAATTCCTCGCTCGCCGGGACCGTTCTGGGAGGAAGAGTGCGGGGTTGTTACTTCAATAATTATTCCTGCTGCCCCGCAAAAATCCCGCCACAGATGATTGATCCACTCGCCTCCACCGTCCACATGCACCTTCTTCACTGGTTTGTCCATCTGCGTCTCGATCTCAGCCTTGCAAAGCTTGAATTTCTGTAAGCTCTGCTCCGCTGTTTTCTGCCCAAGAAAATAGACCCACGGCCCTGCACAGCGACCATCGACACAATGCATCAGCCAATGCACGCCCCCCATGCCGGTCACCTGCGCTGGACCCCACAAGTCCATGTACACGCAGTCTCCCACAGCCTTCTCCGGCTCGTGGATGCTGTCAAACGGCCGACGCGCATGCTTATCGAAGATGCAGTCTTCACATAAACTGTTCATGTCTCCCCCGAAAACATGAAGGCCGTTGACATGCTTCCCCAATATCAGCGCTTCCAGACCTGAATTGCCGAGATGAGTGAAACGTCGGTGCCACGTTTCTTTGCTGGCTGGGAGGTCTCGCGACCTTGCAATCCAAGCAGCAACCATCCCAGCGTCATCAAAATTCAGTTGGTACATGCCGTTCACAAGCCTGCCCTCCATAAAAGCTGACCCATCCGATTTCTTGAAGGTAGCCTTTCCGTGCCCGAACTCGACAGAGTATCTGCTCGCATTGAGCTTCGAGATGGAGATGAGATTGACAGTGATATCAGGAGTATGGATGGCATTCAGGGTAATGTCCTTCTTCTGGCCCTTGTAACTGATTGTCTTGCGCACTACGCCAGTCGCCAGGATGCGGAATGTAGACCCCTCTGCCGCTTTGCCTTCGCGCTCCATGGGATAATACTCCACGAAGTCCTCACACTTCCAAAAGCAGTGCTCGGTGGCGGCGGAGTCAGCCACGACGCGATATTCGCGAGGCTGCGGAGAGTCAGCCATGAACATGAACAGTGTTGGGGTAGCTCGGGGAAGTGATGTGCTTGTGCGTATACCATTGCGCAAGATCGAAAGACGAATCATGGAGCAGATCAGTGTGTATAAACATGTCGCCGTCCGTATGGCTGTCCAGAATGACATGCTCCGAATCAGATGTCGCATAGACCAAGAAGCGGCAATGCTCGCCCTGCGCCTCCTCGGCCTGGAAGTTCTTGTCCCCAGGGTATGGCTGCGCCGCGTGCAAGATGCTCTCGGCACAAGCCGATACTTCAGCGGCATCCATCTGCGGAAAACCCTCCGCAACGAGTTGCGATCACGAACCATTGGGACTAAGAACAAACCAGGGTTTACGAGGGGAATGCTGGGGAAATCATTGAGGTCGCCCACATTGTCGTCCAAGACATCCGACTGACCACACGACTCCAGGTGCGGCATTTCCAGGTCTAGATCGTCCGACAGCATAGAGGAGAGGTCACTGAGCAGCTCAAACTCTGATATTGTGGTCGCCGCATCGAGAACTGCAAAACCGGATGACTCCGACGTGGTTGTAACACTGTCTGGCAGCATGCTCGGAACAGTCGCCTCAGCTGCCTCGTCCCACACCATGAACAACAGGGGTGAAGCAAGGACCTCTTCACCATGGAAGTGCACGGCTTGGATCGCGTCTGTGTCGTACGGCTGGATGACGGCCTCCGGGATCGTCCATATGGAGAACGCAAAAGTCTCGACTGTGTTCGCAGCGGGAGTAGCAGTGGAACCACATTTCCCCTTCCACCAGGATGGCCATTGGCCCTCCTTGCCGCCGCCGGGCCAGAAGCAATCAGTGATGCTGTGGCCCTTCTTGCCCGGCGCACCACACTGCGTGTTTGCACACACAAGATTCTTGCGAGCAGCGCGACGCGCATCGAAGTTGGTGTTAGCTACGAGAGCTTGGGGTGCGGGAGTGGGTGCAGAAGGTATACCGTTTCGGTTTAAGTGCTCAGCGTGCATAGTCACGAAACTGATGACCTCTGCCGAAGTTTTGT